AAACATGTTTATTTTTGATTTAAATATACGAGTACAATATTTAGCACTGCTTCAGAATGCAAAATGAAAATAATTGGATAAACAGCTGATAAACTAATTCAAATTTTATTTAATATTCATCAATTCAGAAGTAAAATTAGATGTCTATAAATAATCACAAAGCAATTCCAGTTTTTAGAACATCATCTTTAGATGTGAATCTGGTAAATGGAAAAACAACTGTTTTAAAACTTTTGAAGAGAAAAGTACCAATTTTATTGAGATATTATCTCAACTCATTAAAGATATTAAAACTCTAACAGTTTTATGTCTGGAAAGGGCCAATATATCATTGAAACTTAAGAGATTTAGATTAAGAGGTGGTAATAAGATTCGCAAAAGTTGAAATGCAGCTTGGTGAGATGTAAGATGACTGAGTGTGAGATTCTAAGCAACATTGAATAGATGCAATGTTGACGTTATTATTGAATGCAATAGCAAATGTTTCCACCCAGTTTAAGGACCTCCATGAGTTGTAAAGGTCTGTGCTCGTATAGCAGTTTCGTGACTATTCAGTTCTAATAACCATGAGCTATATGTGAAATTTGTATGTCAAAGAATATTTTACCCCATAACAAAAAAAACCAAACCATATACCCCAAAACAAAAAAAAAAAAATCTATAATAATATAGTACTGAGCATTATGACATATGATTCAGAAACTTAGACCACAAAAAGCAACCTCAGGAAGAAACTTCTAGCCACCGAAATGGACTACTGGAGACGAGCGGCCAGAATGGAAAAAGTCAGAAATACGACCATCAGAGAAAAGATGGAGGCTAAAAGAAACATCCTGGAAGAGATTGAGATAAAACACCTGGTATGGACATTTGAAAAGAATGCCTGAAGGAAGTCCTCCTAAAGAAGTCCACTTATGGAAAATTAGAGAAAAAATAAGAAGAGGATGACCTGGGATAACAAAGTGGAGGAATCCATGATGGGTCATGGTCTACAGGAAGAATGGACCTTAGATAGGATATTATGGAAAGAAGCCATCCAAGCACTTTAGGTTAAGGTAACGTAATAAAAAAAAAATAAAAAAAAATATCTGAAGAACAGCTAGATCGATTTTCATTGTTTTTCGTTTTAGTCAAGTACCACTTTATAAGATATTTTGAAGGAAAATAAAAAATTTTCATTCAATATTAAATTTATAAACATGAGAATTTGATTTTGAATTCATATGGTTACATAAAAATTATATAAATTATCTCAACTTGCAGTTGGTATAAGGTTTTGATGTTAAGGGATAAGGTAAAATATATGTTTTATTTACTCTGTCTATTCTTCAATCAGAAGTTTCATGAATCTAAAATATTCAGTCAACCATTATCTTATTTTATGAAATTAGAAAATAATTTATTTTAATACCCATTTATAAAACTGAATCTACAATTTAGATCACTAAAAAAAGGACTAACATATTATATAGTTCAATTCAAGTATTCATAACGCCACCATTTAACTAAACTTATATGTAATTGTTTTCACGGATAATTTAAAAAACTTTTTTTTTAATGTATCCACAAATAAACTTCCAACATATTAACACCTCTATACAAAACATTCAGCTCAATAAAACTATTTCAATGTTTTTTCAGATTCACTACTCCACATAATCATTTGTTAATTTTTAAATAAAACAATACTTATATATTACTAGGATGAAGTTTCTTATATTGACAAATAAAAGGTATTTATGAATGTTAAAATTAAAATAGATATTTAAACTAACTGATCATTTGCCCACATAGTACTAAGTGCACATACTTTGATTGTCATATCTCCAAATAAAAAACAAAAATAAATAAAAGATTTTAAATAAAGAAGAAAGTAATAAATATATGAGATGTCGCAAGTGATCTAAGTAACAACATTTAAAAAAAATTAAGCTGTCCACACCAAATAAAATCTACAAGCCTTTGCTAATCTTGGGTCAACAGATTTAACTCCAGAAATGACCTACCTACCTTTACACAGTTGAAAAAGCTATCTGAAAAACCAAAGTTGTCTGTGTAAGCAAGTCAAATGTTTCATTTCTATTAAATTGTTGACACTTAAATCACTTGGCCACACTACACTTCCTAATTCTCCAATGCTAAAATAGTTTGCTTAGTAATTTTGAAACCTATATTAAGAAAAAAAAATTGATTTTTAATTATTTTAAAATTTATTTAAGTATTCTATCCATTTATTAAATAATTGAATGTAATAATCACAAATATTTGTAAGATGGTGAGTAAATTAAAGCACTTACATTTATTAAACAGATTAGTCATCCATTGAAAATAAATCTGACAATGATATGGTGGGTTAATTATATAACACATAACAATCCCACAACAATAATGTTTACTTTGGTTCTATGAGTCATTTTTTTTAGATTACACAGTATCTTTATGACAAATTCAAGTATTATAAAATATCAGGAAATAGTAGTGTATATCATTAAATATGGTCATAATGAATTTATATTGATTAAATATATTTAAAATTTTAAATTCTGTAATATTTTAATGTATTAATATTCTAAATAATCCTTCTTAGGGAGTCTAAAATAAAAGATGTAACAGATATAATTAATAATTATAGAGATATCAGTAAACTGCATAAATATATCTAGATCATACACTAAAGAAATAACATTAAGAAATTGGAAAAACAGCAGTTTTGAAACCAACATTAAATACATTTAATAAAATAATCACTACATTGTTGGTGAAAACAACATTATGGTTTAGTATTGTATTTTACTACTTCTCAAATGATGAACTCTATTAATATACATTAACAAATTTATACTTCTAACCAAGAATCCCATATAAAAATATAGCACTCTCCCATATCCGGAATAATCCTCTTTCAAGTCATCTCTTTCAAGTCATCCAATCCCGCATCAAGTCATCCTTCATACATCTCTAAACTCCTTCAATTCAAATCCTCTGTTCATTCCCGCAATACCCATTCCTGATCTTCGGATTTATATACTATCATTGAACCGCTGCTTACAACAGATCGTTCGTTATACGATCCTCATCCCTATGGAACTCTATTCCTTCTATACAGCCGCTGCTTCAACACCCTCCCTACCTTTAAATCCCACCTGTTCAATTATTTCTTATCCATTCAGTCCCCATAAAACTGTCAATAGTTGTCACTAGAAATATGTATATGTGTATATATATACATATATATGTAAATTATTAGATCGTTCTTAATTATTTTTGCTTCATATTTATAATTTGTTAATTTAATTGTTCTTAAGTTAGAAAGTAACTAATAATTTTTTTTATTATGACTATTTATTTACTTCGTGATTTTTATGTATCTCTAAGGCTCCATAGCCCAAATATCTGATTTTCTGTATTATTAGTCCCAGAATAAATAAAGTATTATTATTGTTATATAACAATCTTTCTTAAGTTGCAATGATTCGCTAGTGGTTTATGGTGATGACACATTGATTACTATGCTAGGAGTGTGGTCATCTTCTTTATGATAATAAAGAGGAAAAAATATTTAAAATCAGCTGAGTGGATTCTGAATTCACACTTTAAAATCAAGAAATGGTTTAGTATAAATTTTAATTTATATATTTTTTGTTTAAAGTATTTATATTTATATAGTGTTCATTTTCACTAAAGTTTCATCTTATTTGATACGTAATTCTCATTTTAAAAATGACAAAAGTGATTATATAGAAGTGTATATGAATACATAACTAATACCTCATGTTCTTATGGTTTATTTAATTTTTTTATTAGTTTTTATTAGCTTCAAGGAAAAACTTCATTTTATTATTTTTTTTTTTTATATACATATTTGGCTGTCCAGATATGGGAGAGTCTACTGGAATTAGAAAAACAAATAATGAAAGTGCACTGCCAAATGGTAAAATGAATGAAAATATAAGTAACTTAAGTTTTCACTAATGCTGAAAATTAAGATTTAAAGGCAAAATACTCTCTTAATAACAAGATTTAAATTTTATTTCTAAAGAAATTTATGAACTAGAATGATATAACTAAACATAAAACAACTTGAATATGACAAAATCAAACTTTGAAAGTATATTCAAATATCAATATGAAGTTAAAAATATTATTGAAATCGTTTCACATGGTAAAAATTAAACAGTATTGATAATAATAGAGGGTCAACAACAACTTCAATAACTATCAGGATTGTCAAATAGCTATGTGAAATTACTAAGAAATAGCCATGCTTGTGTCCAAAAATTGATTGAGTTCATTTCAACAACTCATAATAATTTATATACAAAATATATGGTACAAATGGGTTTTCATAATTTGCATTGCTATCTGGATGGTTCTAATATAGGAACTGACACATTCAAGGTTATGTATACTGTACCGTGATTCACACTTAAAAAAAAATGGATTAACATGCATACATTTATTTTTAATTAAAGAAATTAATAAATATACAAAGGGTATCATTTTAATTAATAATGAATTATTTTAAACTGACTTACCTTTAAACTGTCAGTGATTATCTTGTATCCTTACCTGTTAGTTATTGAAGTGTTATGACAAATTGAATGAAATAGAAAAAATAACAGCATAACACAGTTAACATGCTAAATCAATTGTTTGCAATATTGTTCTCATCAAGACAAAGCTTACAAAAATGAATAATCATGGTAAACTAAATCTAATTAAAGCTCCAAATACTAAATTTATAGCATTAACTGCAGCAAAAATAAAAAGACATATATATACATATAGATATATATATATGATAAAAAAAATTGCAATGGGTTCATTAAACACACATTTTGAATTATGTATGGAAAATATTCACATTACATTATATTTTCTTAAGCCATCTTTAATTTTAAAAAATAAAATAAAATACCATTCTTAATAAACTAAATTTTGCAATACTTAATGTTTAAACCAGGAACTAATAAGGAATGAGAGAAATAAATAAAACTTACATTAAGAGTATGATAATCCCCAGATTCTTCAGGAGGTCGTGGTTTGCATTTTCCACAGCAAAAGTTGCAGAAACAACAGAAACAACAACAACAGCAATAACAAACTGTTATTAGACCACAAAATAAGATCAGGGCCTGAAACAAAGACCATACATAAATAGAAACACATACATTAATAGTCATTGAAATTTAAAGTTTATATTGAAAAATAAATGTAGAGATATATATTATAATTGTTCCTTTGGGGATGGTACCATCAAGTGGCTAGAGAATGGTAGTAACAATGTAATGATCCAAAACTCTACTCTATTCCCTTGGGAAGTTTGACTTAAACCTCCATACTCAGTTAAGGGAAGTGAAGTTAAGGATATCTCTTAAAAACATAAACATGCTTATTAAAATTTCATTATGATACTGTAAATTTAATGGTTAGGAAGCAAATCAGAAATAATCTAATAATATTTTATGCATTAAAAAAATAAATAAACAATTTTTTTAAAAATTAAATAAAACTAAGTAAAAATATAATAAAATCCAAAGGATTTAATATAAAACAAACCATAACATAAAGAATGTAGACCCCTTGTCCGAATAGTCGGTAAAATAGTTAATCTGAATAACATGGAAAAATGTATAAGGCATATACAAGAGTCAGTCAGACAGATTTCCCGACTTTTGCCAGTGTCCAATAAAAGCAATAAAAATGTTTTTCCACAATGTTCAAACATATTTATTACTACTAGTGTGACTAACACAAAGATTAAATAATGGAAAATATGAGTCAAATCGCACTTCAATATGGTCTAAATATTAAACCAGCAATCCCAAAAAATAAATAAATATACTCATCAATATTCTATCCTATGCCAAAAAATATCAAAGTCTAGAACACAGGAACAATTTGCAGGACCACAAAGTCAAAAGGGCAGATAGAAACAAGAAAAAAAAATGTTTGGATCTCTAATTGATAATTTAGGAGACATCTTTTTTTTTTTTTTTTTTTTTTAAATTGAAACATCACAATAATTCTAATTACACATATCTTTACACGGGACATAAACATTATCCTTAGAACAGATAGAACATTCCCAATTGAATGTAATTTTTATTCCCTAAAAAAAATGTTATTTCCTTTTAATTATACTTATATTTTTCAACATAATTAATAGTATCAAAAAATTATAAGTTGTTCATGTCAATATTTTATACAATCACAAATCATAAATTTTAGCCATACACTTTTTTCTGACTAATAATTTGTATTATTGATATTTTAGGAGACCTTAGAGACTACCACTCCATATAAAACAATATAATGATGAAGGGGAACTACTGGACTGCTTGGAATGAAAAAGATTTCAAGGACCCTAATGAAGATCACTCCACACCATTGCTCCATTTTTGTTTACAATTCGTGACCTAAGTAGAGTGATTCATGCTCCAAGAAGCCATTTTCGAAAATTATACCAAACTCATAATTACTATTCCAGGCAATAATAACAGACATTGTCATGGAATACTATATTTAGGGGCAGAAGGGAGAAATTGCCAGCTTGGTTATTTAATGTCGTTAAGACCTAATAATTTTTGTCATCCCTTTTTTAAATAAAATAGAAAAAGTTAGCAAACAAATGTTCTACATTTTTAACATTCTACAAATATTTCAAAGAATAGATTAATACAATTCATTTAATCATACATCATAAATATACTAAAAATGTATATGTTCATTTAATTAATATTTGTGTTGTTAGAAAATTAAACCATGATTAATAGCAAAAAAAAAATTTTAATTATTCATAATCAATACTGTTGTAACACTTTAAACAGCTAATTCCGTATACATAAGTAATTATGTATTTGCTGTCTATCAATTCCTCTTCTTATTATTATATCAGTCCAAAAACGGTTCAGTACATCATGTCACTCATTGAATTCTAAATCTAGCCATGGCATGATGGATTTGATGGCAGATGGAACTCTAGCTGCTTCATATTTTCCAAAATCTATACAGGACTTTACACACAGCCATTCCAGATTACATTTTAATTGGAATGAAGTGATCTTCGGTGGCTAGCTAAAGATCTACAGTCCATCATTCTACTCCATGAGTTTTTCACATTCAGTCCATATGATTCTGGTCTAGAATGATGGAGTCTAGGACTAATAGAAATTCCAGCCGCTCCACACCTCAGAAAAAAAATTTGAACATGATTCCACACTCAGAGTTGTTTAAATATCCATTTGTGATAAAGCAGAAGTAGTATAGAGAATACCAGTGGCCACTATAAGACCAGGTTATTAATGACCACATAATTGTCAAGATTTAATCCACGGAACATAATGTGAGTGAGTGCTATTGAATATATACTATATATAAGTATATTTACATATTACTATTCACATTAAACAGTAAAAGGATTCCTAGATGTCATGTTCCATGAGTGAAACCTTTACAAAAAGACTTCATAATAAGTAGAACGTTTTCCATACCTGATAATACCTCAGAGTAAATGGTTGTATACAGATAATAAACTACCCAACATCATATGATAAAAAATTGAAATATGTTTTAACAAAAATGATACATAAAATATTACCTTGCACCACCCTGATGTAACAAGGAAATATGCATTTACATTTTCTTCACCAAACTGCTCCGCAATATATAAACCAAGAGATCCATAATTGTCATATATGTTACGTTTGGTGATATCAATAAGTATGGCATGAGCTCTATTTAATTCCTTGAACTAAGAAAATTTGGGATATAAACATAAGTAAGTAAATTAGAACAAAGCAATAAGGGTATATCACTTAAAAGACAAATGCAATATACAACAAACACTACCTTTTCTGCAGCTTCTGGGTTATTTGGATTCTTATCAGGATGGTATTTCAAGGCAAGTTTACGATATGTTCGTTTAATGTCATCTTGGGTGGCTGTTTTGGGTAATCCAAGAATTAAATACAATGAATCTCCTGAAGTCCTAAAAGATTTTTATAGAATGATTTAATTAAATACAAGATGTTAATCATTTAAAACATTTTGTATTCATGAATTTAACAATACAAATCAAAAACTTTTATAATAATAGTTTAGAACTCTTGAATCGTTTAAGTTAAACCATTAAAAATCACAGAATTCTTTACAGAAGAAAAAATCGAACCTAATAAGTTAAATGGTGTGTATTACTTACGATAATTTTCTCTTATCCATGTTTTCCAATTTTAATCAGCTCTAACCCTATTAATCAAGTATTTCTAATTTAAGGGGAGTAGTAAGCGTAAAATGAATAGGAACGACATGAGACTAGAACTTCAATCAAAGTATAGGAAATGCAGCTGTTCCAAAAACACTCCAAAGTGAGAAGTACAATCGACTTTAAGTAAAAAGCAGTAACTAGTACTCTACTGATAGAACTATGCGCCTGGAACACTTGCGCAGCTCACGTAAGGCCATCCAATATCTTTTGAGCACACCCCATATGCTTGTAATTAAAAATGGTTATAACTAATCACAAAAATAAAATTCAGCAATAATCTAACCACAAATAATTTTTTATTGGCATTTTTATTAAAATTCATTTTGCTTTAAAAAAAAATTCAAACGGAATAAAATGCAGAAATCTCTTATTTTTTACACATTTTCCTCCCTATAATACAGAATTTGGATATATTTTATTTAAATTTAAATCTACAAAATATTATGTAGAATATTGCACAGTAGGTTAATCAGCTGTTATAACATATGTCAGCTCGAGCAGTTCTGTCATGGCCAACTTTTGTTTATGTTATGTTTTCCATGACGTTTCAATTTATTTTATTTGATACAATGGAATATCTATTCCACATTTCCGTTATTTCTACTCGCTGTGTACCTATAAACATTTAGTCCGAAATAAACCTGTTAAACCATATTTGTTTTTATATGACAATTTTTTAATATTTAAATTGAATTTATAGACAATTTAAATAATTATGTTTCTTTTCAAGAATAGGATATAGGAATGGTTTAATAAAAAAATATAAAAATGCTAAGTTTGATTATTTTTTGATGAGCTATGTGTTCTTGACAACAATAATTCTCGACTATTTAATGAGTTAAATTATGCCCCATGTAAAAATGCTTCCCAAAACATCTAGGATTGTGGGATTATGTTCTGTTGCTAATTTTATTAATGCTGCTGATAGGGTTATTATGCCTATAGCAATAGTACCAATGACAGATGAATTTAGATGGAGTTTACATTGGCAAGGTTGGATTCTATCAGCTTTTGCATTTGGTTATTTTACCAGCCAGGTAATTATTATGAAATGAACAATTTATTTTAATTTAATTTCTTATTATTCTTTTATCAAAATTTCTTTATTATTGTATTAATGGTATTGAATTTATATTTTTTATGTATATGCTAGGTTTTACATAATGGAATAAAAATTTAATCATGATAATATAAGGAATACTTAATGATAGACCGTTGTATATTTTAGAGGAAGAAGATGGTCCGGGGTGGCGGTCATAAAGATACTAAAATAGTGGAAAAACTATTTTAGTCTCTTTATGAGTGCCATCCAGGACCTGATACTATAGGGACTTTTATTTTGGGAATAAATCTTGAACTTTAAATTGTTTATTCTGACATGTGATTAAACACCATCTTTGTCGAAGCACATTAACTGTAATAACATCAAACTTTGAAGTTTTATTTTTGTCTACTTAAAATGAAAAATTTGCGAAGTCCCTAAGCTAATGGTGTCGTTTCGCTTAGTTTACTCATGAACCCTGTGGTACTCAGTGCTAAGTTTAGAAACTTACCCATTGTCTAATATAATAGCTTTAAAACACTTGATAATGTGTAAATGTGTCAGTTTGAAATTACATCATTATTGTTTGAAAAACCAGAATATTCTCCCCACAATGCATTATTTAGTCTTGCTAGTTTTTTCAATGGAGGTCAAAAATCTCATGATCACACTATTAATATAATTTCAATAGTAGCAGAGTATTGACTTGTTATAAGGTATAACCTCATTTTATTAAGATCGCGTTTCTTTTCAGTTCAAATTGGGCTCTTAATTAGCTTTTCCATTACTGTCCTACGCTCATTCTAAAGTTCTAAAGGGATAAACAAATCCCCGATGGGTCCTTACTATACGGTTCAGTCACCTTCATCTACTTTTGGACACATTAGGCCATTCTTGGAATTCCATTTATGGTCTGATCATGCGATCATGTGCCTACCCATCAAAATGGTGCAATATTTGTACAATAGTTATATCAAGTTTTTCATTCAAGTTAAAGTATGAATTTAAGAATCTAAGTTAGGATCCGTCAATTCTTAATCACATTCCATTCCTTTTGGCCCCACGTTGGTAAATTTCCATCTCTCCTCAGAGCTGGAAAAGGTAAGGGTATATATATAATAAATGGATCTTCATCCACAGAGCATTACTCTTTTGGATAGTAACGGTAAAAATAAAAAAATCTGTTTCTTCTTGAAACTTTATGTTTGTCGTTAATGCTAAACTTTTAAATAGATTTTTTTATTGCACTAAGTGTCATTTTATTGTTTTGTATTAGTTATATTATTCCTTTTCGAAGTTGAGACCACTCTTAATTTTGGCTGAAATTACTGTTTCTTACCATTACTACAGGCTCAATTACTTCAAAAATTGAATTCACTGTGTAATATTAATGTTTATAACAGAATTATATTTTTATTATTTTATTCATAGTTAATTTCAACAAAAATTGTTCAATTTTTTATTCATATTAGTAATCATTAACTATAATTAGGGTAAGGGCACCTATTTTTTACACGTTACCAATTATTGACACTTGTAATTTAAATTTGATAAAATAAGCGTTTAGGTTCATTTAGTATTTCAAATTTGGCACCATTTCAAAGGCAAATTAATCAGCCAAGTTTGAAATACTACATGAACCTAAATGCTTATTTTATCAAATTTAAATTATTACTGTCAATAATTAGTAATGTATCAATAATACGTACCTTTACTCTAATGTATTGTTTTTTAAAGTAACTTGTCAGAAATCGGACTACGTGCGGTTGCAAAGCCCACATTATTATAAACACTAGTAGACTAGTGCAAATAATTGGCATAGAATATTGGTCAGTGAACAATTGACAATATAATGTAGAAATAAGTTAATGTATTGCAATTATTTTATTATGGAATAGAGGAAATAATTTTATTTTTCTCAGTCAAATCACATTACTGCATTCATAATAATAAACCATAACATATGTACATTATTACAGGCTGTATCGTTGCCAATAATGGTCCGATTTGATGATTTTTTTTTTTTTTTGTTTTCTATGAAATTTAGTAATCTTTCAAATGATCATGGATGAAATCAACAAAAAATTGTTAACTTTTTGAGTTATTCACAAATAAAGTTTCTTTTCCTTCACAGATGATTTTCTTTAAATTTTGATAGAATGTGACTATGATTCATCACTTTTCCATGAAATTCCCTTTCGTTTGATATCTCATTCACCAAAATCGCTCCTGAGAGCTGCGAACGGGATCTATAACGCAAAATACTACCATATTATATAAAGATGAACTCTCTTTAGTTTCTACTGGTAATGAATTTTAAAATTGAGTGCATAACAGAAGAAAAAACTCACGTAATTGACTGAAGACGTGTATTTGTTTATTATTACTAAAATAAGAAAACAGCTCGAAAAGAGAGAGATTAAAAATGGAACAATCCAAACTATAAAGCCATGTGTCTCAAACATACAGGTGAATAGTTAACTTGCCAACGTTTCGCAATATTGGTAATTTGACAAGTTAACTGTTACCTGTAACTATTTTTTTTTTCTCTCTTTCTTTCTTCCTTTCTGTATATATGTGATCTTGTTTTTTCTGCTCCGATGATGCCTGAATTAGTGAAACGTTGGCAACTGTTCACCTGTATATTTGAGACATGACTTTATAGTTTGAATTGATTATTTTGTATGGTAGTTAAAAGCAATTAAAGATTTCAGTTGCTTTTATTTTTTAATAAAATTCTATATAAAAAAAAAAAAAAGTTCTACTTGGTTTACCAATAAATGCTGATAGAGAAGAATAAAAGACTATCCTTATCTGGAATCCTTAGCAATTCACACCTTTTTTTTTTTTGTCTTCCCTTTCCTCACATTTTAGGCTGTACAGGGCTTTCCCAGGCCAGATGAAAGAGGGTCATTGTACCGCTATCAGCCACTGGTTCTCGAGATTGGAGGAACAATCACACTAACACTCACCCAGTACACTAATACATCACAGTACACAGTACACAGACAAAGGTTACTAACAGTATAGATCCTATGGCTACCTTCCCTAGGTAACTGCCCTGGACAGAGGAGTAGGTTAGGATGTTCTATGGGGGCAGTCTCCCCACCTGGCTCAGGGGCAGAGTTTGGGCTGATAACACCCACCTCCCCCAACATTAAAACTCTATTATTATGAAACCTGCAACAAGGAAAGCCAGGCGGATTATTCGGAAAAGACTCAATGCCCACCTAATGGAACTTACAATAGGACAGTGGAATGATTTAACTTTTTATAGACCTGGAGCTCTACATCATCTTCTAACACAACTGGGTCGTTATCTTGTTGACTTAGCTGCAATCCAAGAAATAAGATGGACTGGTCAAGGTGCCTTCAACCAGACGAATCATACTATCTTCTATAGCTGCGATGATAAGAAACACATTTGGAACTGGATTTATTTTGAGCAAGAAGATGAGTCAGTTAGTCATTGACTTTGAACCTATTAGTCCAAGGATCTGTTATCTCCAAATAAAAGGATAATTTCATAAATACAGTATGATTAGTGTCCATACCCCAACTGAACCATCAGGAGATGATGAAAAAGATGTCTTTTATAGTAGTCTGGAGCAACAGCTTGATTCCTGCCCAAGAACTGATGTTAAGATTATCCTGAGAGACTATAATGCGCAGCTAGGAAAGAGTACTTGCCCACAATTGGTCTACATAACATCCATGTTCACACAAATGATAATGGGATAAGGATGATAAATTTTGCTGCTTCAAAGGGACTTGTGGTCAGCAATACTATGTTCCCCCATGAAAGAATCCATCTAGTAACATTGTGTTCCAATGATGGATCAACATGTAACCAAATAAACCATGTTAAGTAGCAGTCACATCACTAGTTTGAGGGATGTGACAGTTTTCAGAGGCGCCAACATTGATCTGATTACTACCTCACAATCGCCAAGTGTAGGCCAAGGATTTAAAACATCAGAAATCAAAGTGGAGCACAATTGCCAAAGATCAACATTGAAAAGCAGAAGGATTTTGAGTTTAGGCAACTCTTTTGCTTGAAGCATGAAGCATCGAACACCGTTCTTAGCTTCATTGAGTTGTGATGAATTTTCACTACAGCGTGATGTGGTAGAGTGTATGCAGCAGCGGTATTCCCTTCCTTGGCCTTCATGTGACCCAAGCCCTCATATTCCCGCATGAATTTGTGATATTCTTCTTTCAGTAAGCAATTTCCTTCCAATTTTGACTCAAGATTGAGAAGACGTTTAAAGGCTTGGTTTCTCGGATTTTCAAGATTACATATGGTGTCCTTCACCGGTAAAGAAACAACAACGGCCAGAATCTACTCTATAATAAGTTTCCTGGAAGTGCCTTTCACATGATTTGTCTTCTGTATACGTGTCCACTGGTATAACTTCTTCAACCTCCCAAAATTTTTCCATTGTGTCCTTCAACTCTTCATTAGTTTGAAGGAAAAATGAAAAACCCTCATTTACTGATTTGCTAGCTAACCTCAAAGGACCTGAAACAATAAATCCAAAAATCGTGGGAAGCAATCTTGGTATATCATGACCGACGTTAATCGGATGATCTGTAATTATGTCCATAAAAAGATCACCTCCAAGCGAAAATTCCACTTGACCTGGCCTCCAATAATCTGGGTCAACTAAAAAATAGTCATTATATAATTTTTGAATTTGGGAAATGAGAGAAGTTAGTGGAAGCTGGCTCGTTATTTCAGGAATGACAACTGCTTCAGTGGTCAACAAGCATCCCGTTGCAAAAATTGTGTCATTACTCCCCATCAATGAACCAAATGTTCAATAAGTCATGATAAATTTGGGGGCGGGGTGGCCGAATAGGCTAAAGCGTGTGTAACAGCACTGCTAGTTGCCTGGCAACCGGATAACAGAGATTTGAGATGATATAAAAATTATGAGTTCGCGTCCCGGTGCCGGAGTGGATTTTAAATTCCCCGCCCTCTCCCCCCAGCCCGGGAAAATCCCGTATAGCCTAAAAGGCGAGGTAGGGAAGAACAAAAAAAAAAAAGTCATGATAAATTTTTAAAATAAAATTTTGGCCAACAATAAAATTTATATTTATGTATGTAGTATATAGACAATAACATTAGTAAATTAATTAACTGTACATGAATCAAAGCATTTTTTTTAATAATAAACATATATATATATATATGTATATATATTTACAACTTTTCTTTAATCGACCTTTGAGTATTAAATTTAAACATAACCATTTAATTCGGAATAAGGTCACTTATTAATCCCGGTATTTTCTTTTTATAAGTCAACGATGGGATCCTCTTCAAAGCTGCAATTTTAAAAATAGAGCTTCGATCAGGCCAGGGACACACCGATAGTCTCTGCACCGTCCACTAGCACATATATTAAGCGACCTTATTCTCAATTAAATAGTTATACTTAAAGTTTATATATATATGGTGTAGCCGTACGGGCTAAGGTGCTTGCAATAGGTAATCAAAGTTAAGCAACGTTGAGCGTGGTTAGTACTTGGATGGGTGACCGCCCGATTTGGGTGACAGTCCACCATGGAAAGTCAAGCTGCCCGAGCATCCCCCTCTCCCCAGGTATGTGAGTCCCGTCAGCCTACTGGAGGCAACTCATACCGACCGGGCGTAGAACTGATGACCCTACCCCATGTACTTAATCGGGAAGTGGTCTACCAGGATGTTAGTAGCCCCCCTGAGGTTCGGTCCATGGACAGTCTGTTTCGGGGAAAGAAACATAAGTCCTCATGTGCCTGCTGACTCCAGGCAGTCAATCCATGGATCTAAACCGATTTGTCACTGTCCTTGTCCTGAGGGAGTCAGTGGGAAGGACACTGCCAGGTTGGCCCCTAAGAGATCGGCTATGGAGCTACGGGTGGCCTGCTGCTGCACCATGAAGACCATGGTTTGTAGCAATGTGAGGTTGAGTGACCCCCTCCAGGCTATCGGAGCTCCCGCAAGCAACGTACATCTGTAAGAAGACCACATCTCGCGGCCAAAGATCTTCATGGTCTGTAGTGCCAACCGAAAAAAAAAAAATATATATATATATATTCTATGTATATATAATTTATACTAAGTTATATATATATATATATAATTTTAATTATATTTTATAATAGTGAAAATAAAAAAAGGGTTATGGTGAAACAGGTATTGAACTTGAAATCTTCACCATTATAGTTAGTGCAGTATCCACTACACTATGACAGTGTTTAATAAAGTTGGCATGAAGTACTGCAGAAATAAGAATTCAGCATCAATGTGAGGTATTTAATTACAAAAATAATGTTTTGTCTTCCACCAATAAAATTATTGGAAAAATGAAAGAAAAATTTCAATTAAAAACAAATTAGCAGATTAATTTCATTTTATGACTCATGTTAATTATGTTGTTCCTTAAATAATACATAGTTTTTAAGTTTACAATCTTTATATATTATTTTTTAAATTTATTTTTATTATCTAACAGACAAATGAGCAATGATAAAATTGTGGAACATTTCTATATCCAACTGACAGTAACACATAATTTGTTCCCTAGTTGAATTTTATAGAACAATCTTTTCATTCACTTGTCCATGAAGAAAAAATATTTTTAATATGAGTGGAGTTACTATTATTCTTTGGAAAACTACAAGACCTCATCGAACAATCAGTTTGGAAATATTTACTTTTGATGTTAATCCACATTTTTTGTTTAGCTTTTTGTTGCATTACTAGTTTGTTTTCCAAATTAAGAGACGAAAGAAATTGTACTCCTTTGTTTTCTTTTCCCATATATTGCTATTTAAGAAATATTGGGAAATGTTTTAAATTTATCAAATCATCTAGTTGATACCTTAAAGTCAAATTCTGTGCGACTTCTTTTTTTTTTTTTTTTTTTAACTTCTTTTAATCTGATGGCCAGATAGTGAAATTGTAAAATTGTGGAATTTTATTTGATCTCTATGGCAAGGTCTACAATTTTAGGAGTTTTTGTTTTTTGTTTCTGTAAAATTTTGTGAATACTAAGCCTTTTTACAATAAAATGTTGCACTCACATTAGTTACATGTTGTTTTTCTTTATAATGTCACGTACTTCCATTTTTCCACTTTTGTATCAAATGGTGATATTAAGGGACGAGAGTTATATCTAGCGATAGTGAAACTTGGAATACCAAGGAAACTTTTATGGCTGTGCTACATTGGTTAGTGAGAGTTGTATTGTAAGAATACAAAATGACCATTCTCAAGGATTTAACAATTAGAACTCCCAAGTGAAATTTGCAAACCCCCTTTTATAGTATATTATAGCTACTTATTATCATTCTACAGGTTATAGGTGCTTGTGCAGCCAACCGATTTGGTGGAAAAACTGTTTTGCTGTTTGCTGTTTTTCTTTGGTCAGTATCTACTTCTGTGACACCTCTTCTAGCAACATCTATCCATGCCCTAGTATTTTGCAGGGTTATTTTGGGACTTGGGGAAGGCCTAGGTATAGTATTTGTAATATCTCAACACATAAGCTTTTATTCATATTTATTATAATTTTTTTTCCTTTTAGGACTACCTACTATTTTCCACATATTTGCCCATAACATTCCAATTGAAGAGAGGTCTAGGGCATTCGGTTATCTAGTTGCTGCAGGATCAGTTGGACAAACTGTTGCTTCAGTTGTAAGTTCTTCCAAATTATGTTATTAATTTCTAGTCTACATAATAATTAATCAATTCTACAGATGATAACATAATGTATTTTTTTTTTTTTTTACAGATGAATATATTTGTTGACTGTTATTTAAATTTATGAGGGTGATAAATAGTCAGAATTTACTGTCTAGATATGTTTCATTAGGTTTTAACTGCATAGTTAAAAAGATAAAAGAATATAATAATCAAAAGAAGAAAAAAACAGTAGAACACAAAATAAGGTTCTCTAATAAATGAGCAACAAATCTCCTATGAATAAAAGAAAATTTCAATTCATATTGAAATACGAATACACATAAATATATACATAAAACGTGTTGTCAAAACAAAGATGGTGTGAAAAAATATATATACATGTTTATATTATGTATAAAAGATCATAAGTAATATGTATTGGGTTGGCAAATAAGTTCTCTCGGTTTTTCTGTTTATTTTTATAATACACTTCTTATCAGATGAATTAATCCCTAAGGTGGATTGTTTATCCTGATTGTAATATGTCAACAATTATATCTGTTAACTCTTGTTGAAACTAGCTTAGAAATTGTGCTATTGCACTGTAAATATGGAAGAAAATATCATTCATTATCGCCATATTTTGTTGTATTATTTTAAAAATGGTAAGCGTGCTGCAGAAGCTCAGAAAAATTTTCAGTGTTTATAGGGATGATGTTTGAAAATAAAGTATTGTGTAGAATATTCGGACCGAATAAGGATGAGTTAACCGGAGAATTCAGACGGTTACACAACGCCGAATTGCGTGAACTGTATCCGGGTAATATAATTGAGGTAATTTCATCGTGGCGAATCAAATGGGCTTGTAAGGTTGTTGGGCTTAGTAACGAGAGAATTCCTAAAAGGTTAATATTTGCTGTGCCGAATGGTAAGTGTCCGAGGGGTAGACCGAAGCGAAGGTGGGAAGATTGCATTAAAGCCGATCTGAAGGGACTGGGTTTGGACGGCGGACGGTGGAGGGAGGTGTGTAATAAGCAATTGGTGGTGTCGGCATCGAACCTTCGGGTTCGCTGAGCCTTTTATTATTATTATAGGGATGATGCCTTAACCGAACGCACCTGTAAAAATTGGTTTGCCAAATTTCATTCAGGAAATTTTGACATCACACAAAATTTGACATTGGTCAATCGCAATAAATTATTGAGCCTTGGATGGGACTTTTTGCCCTATCCTCCCTATTACCAGACCTAGCTCCAAGTGACTACCACTTATTAACAAATTCCAAAAGGAAAATGACATCAAAAACCACTTGGTTCAGATTTTACACAATTAACTCCAGACAGTCTATGAACATGGAATTATTATGCAGTTAGTGGAAAGATGGAAAAAAGTCATATTAAATAATGCTCAATATATTGTAGATTAAAATAAATTTTATTTCTACAAGACATTGTATTATATTCAATTAAAGTTTTTTTGTTTTTTTTTTATGAAATGAACTCATTCTATCTCTTTTTCGTTCTTCATTTCTCAAAGTATATGTTTATGTTGTTCAACCCTTATATATAGTTTTTTTCATAGTTCAAGTGATTCGTTCATAATTTTAATTGTTTTTTCATAATTTTAAATGGTCTGTACATAGTTTTATCTGTATAATATATAGCTTGTGCACCTAAGGTTTTCTTTACTTTTTATTTTATTTTATCAATTTTATTTATTGTTTCAAACGTTTAGGCCAGTAATATTCTATTATTTTGTACATTATTGTTATTCTGAAGGGACTTAGTCCGAGAATAAAGTTTTTTTTTCCTATCTATCTATCTATCTACATTGAGTTTTATTTCACCATGAAAAACCGAAAGGACTAATTAGCCGACCTAATACTTCCATATCTACTGAAACATCTTGATAGATTGATATAGAAATTGACATTTACGAATATTTAAACTTGGTGTAGTAGTCGGGTTCCCTATCACACCTCAAGACTCTTTCGGATGTTGACATGCACCGATACTTGAGACGAAATATATTTGCCTAGAGCCGTAATGTGTTGTGAAAGGTACCCGGCCACTACACCAAGTTTAAATATTCTTAGATGTCAATTTCTCTATCAATCTACCAAAATGTTTCATTAGATATGGAAATACATTCCCTTAAGGGGAATAGAATTATCCAATTTCTGTAGTTGGTTTTTTTTTAAATTAAAATATTTTTATATAAATAAAACAAGTTTGACATCCACTATCCTGTTTTACAAATGACAAGTTTTGGCAAAATTAAGTCGATTCATTAGCTTGCCATCTGTGGAAGTCAATTTTTTTTCTAAGTATTTCTAATGGTTTCAAGGAACACAATGATGTGGATGTGGGAATCTGGCCGACAGACAATCTATTTCACATTTTTTTTAATAACTTATGATATGTTTGTATTAGAGAGGCACTAAATCTGACTGCTATTTTCAATTTTATAGTTTATTGTTATTATTATTATTATATTACATTGTTTGTTTATATCAGTTTAGTTTATAGTTAATTATTGAATTATTATGTTGATTGTTAACAGATATGCCCTCATCTCGCTTGGCAAACTGGTTTTTATTTGTTTGGTACTCTTGGTATTGTTTGGGTTCTTATTTGGTTAATGTTCTACAGTGAAAAAAAAATGTTACAAGACGAAATACCTTTATTCATGCCTAAGGTAATGTATAAGAGACAGACATTTTTAATTATATTTTCAACATTTATTAAATTTCATATTTATTTTGGGACAATTCTGTTCAGAATAAAAGTTCAAGCAAAAGTAGGTGGGCTTTAGAGCCATAGAATAAAATTAATAAGAACAAAAAAAAACTAACAAAAAAATGGAATTTTAATAAATCAAAATAAAGCAATTTGTACTTTTTTAAACTAAAGTAATCTCTCTTTTAAAAATAAAGTAATAATAATGTGAATAATGACAAATGAGGTATGAAAAGAAAGAGAATTTTCAAATATTTAACTGATATCTATCCAGATTATTATCTCAGGTCAAACATTCAATTAATAATGTATTGTGTGATAAGTTTTAATACTTTTGCAGCTATTTTATGCAAATTAAAATTCATGCTGGATGTTGAATAGCAAATACTTCTGGCTGAATTAATTTTTTTTTTTTATTTATGTCCTTTTTATTTTTTATGAATATCCGAGTCTCATTAGACTATGGTCGGTCTGTGCAACTCAGTAATTAGATGGTTCTCGAAATTTGATATCTATTTTTAATTCATTTAATCATAAGAAAAAACAATTTTTTCATTGCTTATAGATGATAAAAATAAATCATTGGTTGTTACATATTAATGCAGTACTATTTTTATTTTAAGGTAACTAATACCAATGTGAGATGGACAGAATTTTTAAGTCATTGGGCCCTTTGGGCAATTTATTTAGCTCATTTTGCTATGAATTGGTCAAATTATATTATCATGCAATGGCTGCCTACATATTTAGCTCGAAATTTGGGAGCAAACAAGGAAAGCATTAGCCTTACTGCAGTTCCTTATATAATAAATTCATTGGTTGGAATTCGTAAGTATTTAATTTTTCATTAAAATTATATTAGAATTTATAGAAGTTCCTCAAAGTTATCAATGCGGAACTGCCAGGTCCCCAGCACCCAGCCATCAAATTTTATAGGATGAGGAAAAAAAATAGAATGAAAATGGCTGACAAGGGTGTTGGAGAAGTTTCAAATCCGCAGAGAGCAAACAAAGTAGACAGAGGTTGTCGGTAAGAGCAGTATCACTATGAGGTTGCTCAATATAATTATTACAACAAAAGAAAAAAGGTTGTGCAAACTGTAATGAATGCCGACGCTCCTAAACGGTGTCCTCTAAATATGGCCGAAATCGAGAGGCATTATAGGCCTCTTTGAAAGCGAAAATCTCTGCGGGCATGCGGATTACGAACAGTGATTATTCGGCTGTAGTTGCTGAATGTGCTAAGAGATTGGGGGTTGATCAGTCCTACGAGAAAATGCATTTGAGGAATGGGCCAACTGCAGGTGGCAGGGTATTGGTGTTCGTCATGTTAAAGAGACCCGAAAGTGAATAGATACATCTACGAAAAGCAAGTACTTTCTGGGTCTGAATGATCGAATGCCCTAAAACTAAACATTAATTATGCACCCCTGTGTGGAGTCCCAGGTGTCAGCGGACAGGTCAGAGAAGTTGGGTCTCTCTGTCGTAAATGCGGTAGAGAGTCTGAAACACCAGCCCATGTGCTGGGAAAATGCCCCAACAACTCCCTCCTCATAACAGGTCGTCACCACCGGGTCATGTTCGAGTTGATGAGGCTCCTTAGGGAAAATAAAATTAACCTGCTTTGACGAGGTATATTGCATCGATAGTGAAGGCTCTACGAGATACACGGATATCGTCGCATTTCCCAAGACAGGAAGGACAGCGCTGATCTAGAATCCAACTGTCCGCTTTGAGAGCAATGACCTCGATCAGGCGGGTGAAGTGGAAAGGGAAAAGAAGAATACGTACGTTAAATGTATTCCTTTCCTAAAAGAGAAATTCCGTGAGACCTTCGGAGAGAGAGAGTTCACCATAAGAGGCCTCTGGTTTGGGTCTCACGGACTTTGGGTCAACAATTCCAAAAAGAACAAGGAGCTTCCTCGAGGAACTATGTGTTGACATTAAGAACATAGCGAAGTTGGCTGAAAATGTAGTCCTTGACTCCCTGGGAATCATTCACCACCACGTGCATGGCTAGACTGAGAGTTTTAATTTATGCATTTATTTAATGAAAAATTGAAAAAAGATATATAAAGAAACAGAAATTAAATTTGCGAGAAAGGGAAATTAAATGTTAAAACAAAAAGGAAAAAAAAAAGCATGAACAATGAAAGGAAGGAAAAAAAAATTATGTATATACTTATTACACTAATATAAACTAACCACTTCTGTATATTTATATATAAGTTCATTTATTGTCCTACAGATTAATGAGTATGTTGTGTATATAGCAACCCAATACAATTGGACAGCAATCTTTTATATTTTATATGAAAATAAAGTGTTTCTATCTAATACTAACTATAGTACAAAGGAGGACTAATGACTAAAGGACTAGAGGGCTACTGACCCATACCACGCTTGTAGACAACAGAGTTTTTTTTTTCTCATTTATTTCAAAACCCATTAATATTTTTTCTAAAGATTTTAGAATATGCATGATTTTATTTTCTAAAATTCAATTTTTTTTTTTTTTTTTATAACTAATCATTTTTTTCAGAAATTTAAACCGTTGTAGGTTTAAACTTTTTACACCGTGCTCCCAAAATTTCTGTATGAAACTGCCACAAGAATAGTCAATTAATTATTTATATTAATATCAATATATTAATCAACAACTGGTCAATCAATATCTCATAAGATGAAGGCAAGAAGGTTAAGATTACCAGGACATGTAGCTCAGAGCAATCGATCATGAATGTCTCAATAGTAGGGAAGAAACCTAGTGGAAGGCCAAAAGCCAGTTGGATAGATCAAATCAACAACAATGATGTACAACTGAGTGCAGATAACTGGAAATAGTTAGACCAAGATAAGCAGAGATAGAGAAGGCTGATTAAGATGACAAAAGATCTACAAGGTTTGTACAGCCAACAGGAAAAAAAAATCAACAAAAATATATTTTTACTTTCACTTACGTATATATGAAATATATAGTATATTTCATATATATGTAAGTGTAAGTATTGCGATCTTGAAAATTTTCGAGTCTGAGTTTTCAACGGAAATACACGTTTTGAGGTATCTTGAGTCCAAATAACCAAGTCCCATCATTAATCATCTTACATTATTCAGAGTTACAAAAAAATGCTAAATATAACTTTTGAAAGTTAATAAAGGGAAAAAAAAAATGCTTATCCGGGTCAGAAGGTATGGTATATGTATAATATATCATTGGAATAGGAGAATTTTAGAAAAAACAATATCTAATATAGAAAGTTGTAGAAGGTAACGGTTAGTGGCAAAAAAATTATATATAATTTTTGAAAACTAATATTATTTAATGTAAATCACATGTTTTCAAGGAAATTAAATGAAATTTACTTCCTAAATGTAAACTTTTAAAATATTTTTAAGTTTGAAAAAATTATTTAAAATCCACCTAATGAAGGCAATGACATTGTTTAAAAAACTATTTCATTGTACTTGTGTGAAAGATGAAGTAAAATATAAAATCATTTCATGGATGTTAAAGCATATGTTTATAACCTTAAATACATTTCCTGTAGTTTAATTATTCTAGATCTGATATATTTAAATAATTAGGTATCAACGACCGTTTATTCCAAAATATTGTCATCTAACTTTTTAGAAAATTAAATTAGTGAATAATTTGATGAATCTTCCCTTTATGATATTCCAACAGTATCCGCTACTATTCCATTGTACTTGTGGGAAAGAAGAAGTGAAATATAAAAATATTTCATCGATACGTTGATAACCTTAAATATATTAACTGTAGTTTAATAACTTCAGATCTGATATTATATTAAAATCTATCGTTCGTATCTGTTTCTATCGCCTATTTATTACAGAAAATCATCTAGTAGCTTTTTAGAAAATTAAATTAGTGAATATGAGAAGGAGTTAGTCATAAGTTGTCAGATACAGAAATAAAAGATGATATCAGAGATATAGTGGGTGACAATGTAGTTAAATATTAAGTATTATATATGTAGAAGATACAAATAAATGGAAAATAAGTATGAATAAAAATAAAAATAAAGGAGAACATAGCATGTAAGCATCATCTCCTTTATTTTTATTTTTATTCATACTTTTTTTTTTTTTTTTTTTATTGGTGATATTTACAACTGTATTACAAGTAAAAATACATTCAGTAAATGTGAACAAAGGAATAAAATAGCATGAAATCACATGTTGAGAAACTACCCATTGGTAGCACTCTTATTCATACTTATTTTCCATTTATTTGTATCTTCTACATATATAATACTTAATATTTAACTACATTGTCACCCACTATATCTCTGATATCATCTTTTATTTTTGTATCTGACAACTTCTTTTTATTTTATATCTACTTATATTTAATTTTTATTCTCAACATGTTTTGTATCTTTTGTAGCCCTGAAGACGACCTGCAAAGTGGGTCGAAACGTCGGCTAAATTAAAATAAAATAATTACCATATTTTAATTTAGTATGTATTTGACCGCACCCCCGACTAACTCCTTCTCATATTATATCAACGGTCAACCATCTCTACATCATTCTAAATTAGTGAATAGTTTGATGAAATTTCCTTTTGTGATATTTTAACAGTATCCACTTTCAATTAATGTGATAACTTTTGACCTGTCTATGACAGACAATGCAAATCTCTTAATTCCATTTTAGTAAACTTTGCAATGGAAAATAACAGTTTAATAACTAATAGTCGTGCAACCCGTAATCAATGGATCATGCAATCCATAATCAACCGGTGATATAATAAATAGGACTTTTGTTATTTTAATGGTATTTATGATTTGTTAGCTGTAAATTTTTAGCTTTAGCTCAGTTTAAAATGCAATTCAAAAATTTTATAATAGCCCAACATGGCCAGAAAATAATTTCTATTCAAATTGAGCGGTAAGTGAAAGTTGTGTTGCGCTCACCAGATTTTTGGGTGTTAGTCCCATTTCAAGTTTAAGTTTTGCTATGTTTTTATGAATTACCTCTTATAGTTTAATTCATTAAATATGTTTTTATTATTATTATACCTATTCTTCAATTAGCTGATTCACTAAATCTCGATTAGATAAGACACTTTGAGTTTGAAATAATACTGTTATTTTTATTATGATTTTATTTGGTCACTACAGTATACAGTTCTGATTACTCTCTATATTACAAGAGCTACTTTTACTGGTTTGTTTCATTAAATTATTAAAGTCAAAATTACTTGGCTTTCCATATTAAACTTTATTTCTATGAATTTTGCATAAAAATAGCTCCCATAAATTACATATCTCTCTCAACTGACCACTGTTAAAACTCAATTTTGCTTGATAAACCTTAACCACAGATTCCATATGTAAGCAACAAAAATACCATTATATATATATATATATATATACATATACATATTTTTATACAGGATGTCAAGGATTAACTACACTTAAATAAATACAACTATATAAATAAATCAAAAGAAAATTCCTTTTTCCCAATAGATTAATTACCTATAGAGTGAGCGACTGATTGAAAAATATGTTATATTTTCTTAAATTCATGGGGCACATTCAAAGAAAAAAGCACCGACAAACCATTCTTTCTCGATTTTATGAAATTTGGATAAAACATTACATCGGATCGAATCATATTGGACATTGTGCCAAAATGTGGTATAAATCTTCATTTACATGAATATTACATAATGTACAGTTACACTTTGAAACTATAATCATTGGCAATGTGTAACCGCATGATAATTGTTTGAACATGAAAGGTAGGCTAGTTATTAGTTAAGGCTGAGCTTTATGTGTGATGAGAGGATAAAAAT